CCAGTCATGATATTTTATTTATTTGTTAAGCCACTTAATAATCACCTCGTCATTGAAGCACAAAAAAAGGCACTTAGCTCAAGGGATGACCTGTGTTCTTCTGTTTACACATAAGACAGCTTAGAAAATAAGATTCAATTGAATATTGAGATATCATTTTGGGACGGAACAAAACAAAGGCAGTGAACATTCAAAGAAGAGCTTTGAATTTACTTCAATATTGAATATTTACCATTTGCTGAGATAAAATATAAAGAAATTAAGAGTGGCTTAAGATTTTTGTACATCACTGCATATCTAATTGTTCCAAATGCAATGAGAGAATGTGCTGAGTATAATTATGAATAATGGTCATATTTCTTCTATGAAGGTAACATGTGAATTGTTATTTTAGGAATAAACCGTCATTTAATGGAGTCATGAATCCTCTGCAAGTGATATTGCTTTGCAAATTAACCCCAGCAACACCAACATGTAACATCCGCCACCACCAAGACATTTGGAGGTAAACGGACACTATCAAGATGACCTCATTTGGGCTTCTGGGACACTGGTGCTCTCCTTCCTGCTGGGACATTAACCACCTCTCCTCCACAGCATCCCACGGATCATTGGTGAACACCATCTGTTGAAATTTTGGGCGGTCGGACTTGCATGATGCACACTGCTTATGTCTACATGTAGCCTAGTATTATTTTGTCTGCCTGAAAGTCCTTTAGAAATACGCGTGACATTCTCGTCAGGCTGCATGTAAACATAGTCTCTACTTCCCAAATAGTAAGAAAGGAAAAAATTGCTTCACCACAGTTACAAAAAACAGTTTGATAAAGAACAAAGTACCTGCTCCCAATTTTCTGGGAAACATAGCAAAAGACACAAGATACTGTAGCAAAGATCAAGGCCTGTGATTTTTATTAGACTCATTGGGTGTGTTAATGTTTTGTTTTTTGCTCTACCTCATTGCCATGGGAAGTCCAACAGCATGGACGAGGAGAGTGGTGAATTAGCTAAAAGGTTGTCAAGTGCCACAGAAAGTTGTATAATGTTGGATGATTAGTTTTGTTTCTGGGGGTCAAAAAGTGAGGTTGTAAATGTGGGAAGACTGAGCAGCACACGATGCACACTGTCACTCATTTTGGGTAAACAAAACAAAAAACCACTGAACCACTCAAACTGTGGTCTCCTATGCATCTGTTTTGCATTGTATTGTGCTCTCCTTTGTCAGGTCGGCAGGTGTTTCTTTACAAATAGCACATAGAGATAAAATTGGGAAGTTTTCCTTTTAATGTTGAATCCTTTACATAGAAATCTGGCAACTTGTATTATTTCAGATTTGTCTCCTGAAGCATTCTGATTCAGTTTCCCTTCATCTGGTCTTTTTCAATTTAACATGTTTTTATTTAGTTTTTTCCCATGTAAATTGCTGGGAGGTTTTTCCCCCCTCCTGCATGTAGGGCGTGTATAATGGGACATTCAGGTTGAGATAGATTTTCAGTTTTGATTTCTTTTAAGGAATTGTGAGAAGATGCAATCAGATTTGCTTTATCAAACATGCTTTATCTCACCCAAAAGAAACCTGGTCTCATTTTTCTTTTTCTTTATTTTTTTTATTTTAACAGAAGTAAAATGCAGTCACTTGAGGAAGAAAATGCCAGTTTCCCACTGAATTACCCAGGTAATTATCTCAGATTTCAGACATTTAAAAACAAAATGCTGTTTTTTAGGATTAGTGAAATTACTCCTAGAAGAAGCTTTACATGTAATTTAGAGATCCACCCAATGGAATCAAACAAAGTCCTGCTTGTTTATTTTAATCTAGTGTAGCTTTTTCTTTAGGTAGATAGCTCATCTTGGTCTGTCGGACATTATGGTGTTTCTTTAGGATCAGCCAAACAAAAAAATTATTCGCAGCTCAGTTGATGTTCATGCATCTAAACTGCATTCAGGCATGTATTTGAAAGCATAAACAAGTGGCAAAGAGTAGGCTGGTCAGAGCTTCTCGTGATAATGGTAACGTAATCTAATGAAATGCATAATTGTTCCTCAAGTGAATGCATGCTGCTTCTGTGCATTTTCTTTCTTTTGTTCACTTTTGTGATTTTTTTCAAAGGAAAAAAAATCACATTTTTCCGGGATTTGTGCAATATTTGATCCTAACTGTCATGTTGTTGACCAAACTGTATATTGTATAAACAAGTGACAAGTTGTTTGAAAGCAACAAAATCACCAATGTCTTCCATTAAGATATGTATAGACTCATGTGCATTAGCTTATTTAGCGGGACTGTGGTGCCAACATTATAGTAGCCGTGCATGACCAGTAGTGATGCTTGCTTCATGAGGAATAGTGAAATCGATTTCTAGGCTAAGCTGGAGCGCCAAACTTCGGAAACTATTTCAGCAAAGTTAAAAGGTGGTAGACTTAGGTACATTTAAATACACTGCATAGAGACACAGCTTTACTCTAAACTCTACTGCAAAATCTCATTTTCATCACATGGCTAGTTTGTGCAATCGAAATACAACTAATGTAAGGCACAATCAGGGTAAGTTAAGTATTTAAACAAGTCATTTACTATAGCATATATGCTTAAAATAAGTAACTTCTTTTATTTACGCACTATAAAGCATTAAAAGAATTAGTTAATATGCAAAAGCCAAAAATCTCCCAAGTCTCACGTGTGATGGTGACGAAGAAATGTTCTATTGGGAATGAGATTAAATTTAATCCTAGATTTGGATCTGATTGGTAAGGATCCAAAATTGACTTTTAGTCCTAGAATAATGATCTCTCAGTGACATCACATTGTACATATTACCTCATAGTTTTGGGATTCAGAGCGTTATATTTTAATCCATAAAATTGTATTTGATTAGAGTTTTAGAAGCAATAACCTACAATAATGCATGAGTTTAGTGCCCGGGTGAAAGTGTTTAAAGGTTTCTGTAGCATCACATGGAAAGGGTTATATCCACCCGTTTTTATTTTATTTATTTTTTGCTCATGCAGTCAATTAGACACTTCTTTCATTGGGGAGTTATGGATTTATCACTGAAAGCTTAGGATATTTTCTGCAGAACAAAGTGTGTTCTAGAACAGCTGTAGCGTCATGTTATTACATCAATACACGAGAGATGCTTTAAACTTCAATTGTAGCATTTTTACATCCATTCAAAACCCACTTCTTATTTAGAAATAAATATTGAAGTAATTCTGTAACTGTAAAGGCCTCACTGAGCGAACTTGACACTTGTTTGAAAAGCACTTTCTCTCTCTATGTACTGACTTGCACCGTCATCATCTCCACCCTGTCTTGGATACTTTGTTCTAACAATCCTGTAATGCTCTTTCTTGGAATTTGTAATCAAAAATTTATAAGCAAGTAGACATCTAGCAACATCAATATATGGGTTTAAAAAATATGCATGTCTTAGCAGAATAATGAATGATTTGTATTGCATGCAATAATCCAACTTTGTAATGTGAAGGAGTGTAATTAGGAAACTGAAATGTTCATTTTGGATGTTCTGTCAGGACTTGTTTGACACAACGGCGAGCACGTTGAAAAAGCTTCAACAGTTTTACAGACTACCTGCTAGTTTGATACAGTAAAGAACAGAGTAGTTCTCCATTGTGTCAAATATGACCTGACAGTGTAGCCACAGTGCAGCTGAGAAACAAATCAACCTTTGTTCCCATTAAGGAAAAAAAATATATATCAAGAGCTTAGGTAAGATTAACGACATCACTTTGTTGATCAACTTTTCCACAGAGGACGTGGACTGTGTAGAAACTATGCACTCCAGAGGGAGGAAATGGGCATGCTTGTTATGTGTGAGCCTCTTGTCTGGTTTTGTATTAACTTTAAAAAAGAAAAAAGAATCTGTATCAGAAGTTCAGCAATAAAACGCAGCATGGTGCCAATTAAATTGATGGGTGTCGACTACAGTTTGAATGCCATGTAACACGAACCAACAAACCTTAATAATTGTTGTCCTTAATACCACTCTGAGGCTGGTTACACACCAGAAAATGATTACTGAAGGAAGATTTGAACCTAATTCTAGCTTGGTTTGAAGATTGTAAGCAGGAACAAAACCACCTTTGCTCTCACTGAACTGTTGATCCTAAAATCGTGGGAACAATTAACTTTATTAACAAAATAGCATTTACAGCAAATACATGAGATATACACTCACTGGCCACTTTATTAGGTTCAACTGCTTTTTAATAGAATTCTCTAAACAGTCGATCACATGGCAGCAATTCAAAGCATTGAGGGCTGTATTTGTTGTTGAGATGATCTGCTGAAGTTCAAACCGAGCGTCAGAGTGGGGAGAAAAAGTAATTTACTGACACTGAATGTGACATGGTTGTTTGAATGAGTATGGCAGAAACTGCTGTCAACAATAATAATTTAAATTAGCAGTTATGAACCCATTCAAGCTATGCAGAAAAACATGTCTTAAAACACAATATGTCCAGCCTTGAAGCAGATAAGAGATGATCGCAGCAGGTGCCTCTCCTCTCAGTAAGACGGGATTGTGTTATTGTCATTGTGCAAGCATAAGAAAATTAAGGCAAAGCTAAGAATGGGAAACTCAGGCTACAAAAACTGAACAACAAAGTTACGAGAGCAAGAGGATGGTAGGGTCAGAATTTGGCATAAACAATATGCAAGTATGGATCAATCTCACTTTCATAATCAAAGGTTCAGACTGGTAGTGGTGGCCTGCACAGTCACCAGATCTCAATCCAATACAGCACCTTTAGAATGTGGTGAAACAGGTCATTCACAACATGGATGTGCAGTAACTGTGTGATGCTATCATCTCTAAATGAACCAATATCCCTGAGAAATGTTTCAAACATCTTGTTGAATCTGTGCCATGAAGAATTAGAGTAGATCAGAAGGCAAAAACAGTACTGGCAAGATGTACTTAATAAAGTGGCCACTGGGTGTATGCTGTCCATTACAAACAAACGACAGTAAATCAAGATTACTTTGACATTTTAATTGAACTGAACTGAGCGTGACTGAACATTGACCATACATCTCAAACGTTGGCAAGAAGTCATTATCAGCAGCAGAGAAGGGATCTGAGAAGCTGTGTCAACAACTGTTGCCATCATCTGTAACAATTATTAATATCTGCATTCTGCCATTTTAGACAAATACCTTGTGAGGGTACCAGCAACAATGTTTTGAACCAAAGTAACAATACAGGTGGAATGACATTTATATTTCACAACAATGCCCTGATTTAACCTACAACAATTAAGAAAATGAATAATAAAAAGTAATTTCACTTAGTAGCTGTCAACGTAGACTGTATATAAAAGATGGATGTTGGCACAGTGAGGTCCAGTTCTGAAGCATTCTGGTCAGCAAGCAACACATCAGAAGGGAGGGGTGAATCTGACTGATTAACCAAGGACACTTCATGGTCACACAGTAGCAACTAGCCAATCATAAAGCATACCATTTTGTTTTGTATCCTTATAGCCTAAGTGGGGCCATAATTTACAAAATAAAATAATCATGCTGTATTCAGTAAGACTTAAAAAATAGTGACCAAGGCCATAAACTCAACAGGAAAGTGGCAGATCAAAGAAGCGGGAGGGTTTTTCCATCTTTACCTTAAGAATTAATTTTCAATGAGGAGGCGCCCTCTGCTGGTCCTTCTAAAGAATGCAGGTCTGTGTCAAGTTTAAGTATTCACACTCTTGAATGCTGGAGCTGCATCCATTGTTTACATACAATCTGACATATTAGAGTTCACTGATCTTCCCTTTATTTTCCAATGGAACAAACACATTTCAGCTCTAATCCATTATTAGTGATATAATTTTCTTTACAAGTATATGGAGGCGCATAAATGCCACCATCACCAAAAACAATCTACAGTACGCAGCAGACTGAAGAACATATTTTCCCTAATCCCAGGTCGAGCTGGGTGTCCTGTGTACACTAGTTGACCATATTACTGGTAACACTTCTGTCTACCAGTCTGTTCTTAATGCGTGACATCTGTTCCAGCTGTGCTTCAAACTGTTGTCTCACCTGCAACGGAAAGCAAGTAACACATTTATTTGCTCAGCAGAGGCAATTAAAATTTATGTCATTCCTAACTGGATTGCTTTATGCACTAATCTCATCTATTGTGAAGTGAGTGTAAGCACTGATGAACCACGATAAAACCCAATGAAAAAAAGTAAAATTGGTTCTCTTGCTCTGACATGATATTATTATTTCAGTGTCCCACCTCATTCATGCTTTGTCTGAGCGGCTTCTGATCAAATGTGAGTGTGGATGCCTTCACCAGGGAGCTGCTGTTGAGGATGTAACTGCAGAGAGAATTAAGCAAGTTCTTGAAGATCGAGGGGTGCAAAAAATAACTTCAATGAAATGGTTTCCATTAAAGAATGAAAAATATAATTACCACCCACTTATTTATAAAGTGAATAGATAAACCTACTCATCAAGTGTACAACATATACAGGGTTTGTTTCATCTGTGACCTGAGCTCACAATATGAAGTGAACAAAGAAAGCTCATAAGCCACATGTTTATTCTACCCTCCCCAGACAAACATGTACACAAGTAGTCAATATGGTCGTGTGGTTAGTAGAAACCGGAGGGCTTACCAGTTGATGTTTGCTTTGTAGAGGAGAAAGATGGACCGAATCAGAGCCAAACGTGAGGGTGCTGAGTGAATGACTTTCCCCAGAGCACAGCGGCAGCCACGGCATTTTAAAGAGCTGTAGATGCTGGGAGTGATCAAGACATTCATTAACAACCTGTCTATACCACTCAAGTCTAAGCTGTGCTTTGTGGTACAAAACAAATTTCCTCTACAAGGTCAATAAACGCTGCAGCTTAACCCTACTCACCAATTAGTCATTTCCCCTTTATGTTCTGACTCCATCTTGTCACTAATGACTACATCGTTGGTTACTCCTAAAGAAAATTAGGTAGAAAGACATTAGGTAGAAATATCATATTGGCATAAAACTTTTGAAAATCATCAGTGGAGTTTAAGTATAGTACCCCTGAAAAAACAGACATTAAAAAAGCATTAGGGAGCAAATGTGGTTGTTTTTGTCACTCTGGCACGAACAGCACGTCCCAGTTGATCCCACAAGTGTTCAATGGTGTTGAGGACAGGACAACAGGCAGGCTATTCCATCCCCTCCACTCCCAAACAGACAGTAGAAGAAATTACACCAGAGCAAGTGCACTGGCCCAAGTAGTACCAAAGAACTCAACACCGCCAAAGCTTAACGATTATCAAACAGCTGCCCTCACGGCATGTGACAAAGATACTGTAGATACTAATCTTGGCCCAGCTGAGACCACAGGTGAAATCATCTCTTGACCCTCAGCAGTTTGCACACAGACCAAATGTGGAAGCAATCACCTACATCCTGCAGGGAGCTTACTGCCATCTAGACATTAATGGCTGCACAGTGAGGATTACCTTCTTTGATTTTGCAAGTGCATTTAACACAATTTCATCTGCTGCTACTGAGAGAGAATCTACAGGAAATGTCAGGAAACACATCCACTGACAGACAGGCCACAGCATATGAGACTGGGGAAGTACTCTGTGTGTTTGGTGATGTTCAGTTCAGGAGCTCTGCAGGGGACTCTGCAATCTCCATTGTTGTTCACCTTGCACACCTAAGACACTGAAGAGTTTAGCTCTGGGTTGTAGCACCTACAGAAATACTCTAATGAGTATGCAACGGTTTGATTTTAGAGGCAGGATGGAGAGTAGAGAGCACTAGTGGATGATTTTGTGTCATGGCCTGGGAGGATTCATCTGCTTCTGAATATGAATAAGACCAGAGGGAATGTGATCTAGTTCAGAAGGTTCCTTTTGAGGTGGTGGAGGAGTACAGGTACCTGGGTGTCCACATCAACAGTAGGCTGAACTCTGCTGGGGTCTGCTGGGGGAGAAGACTGAATAAACTGATTATGAAGGCTGAGTCTGTAACTGGCTGTAAATTGGAAACTTTGAGGATATTGTGATGAAACTTATCCATCATTGATAATCCACCACTGCGCTGAATAGGCAGTCTCTCTAAAAGACTGATTCAGCTTTGCAGCTACAGGAAAGGCATCTATCACCAGGCATACTACCACATTGCTATTGAATAATGTATTTATCATCTCATTGATTATCTTACTCCAACATATTAGATCATATGATGTAAACAGTCGCCATAAAAACAAGTCAAAATCCATCTACTTTGAGTTTAGTTAAAAGCACTGTAAACTGATACTAAATTTAACACAAGCCCAATGCCTCAGCGAACAAGCTTTTAGAAATGAAGTGTACTTACTTAAGCACATAAGCGAGTCCATGCTTTTCATCTCTCCACAGACGCCTGTGGAGTCCGCCAGGACGGCGTTGCACTGCTGACAGTGGAGAGTCATCTGCTGTCTGTGCACTGTTTCTGTGACCGGCAGCTTTAAGTCATCGGTGTGTTTAATTAAAAAGCTGTCGTTAAATTCCATGTTTCACGGTGCCTAGCCAGCAACTTGCCCTTCTCGCGAATTTGAACAACAGAGGAAAGCACGCCCTCAGCGTAACCACGCCCCTACAAAGAAATGCACAAGATACCAAATAACACTTTTATACAAATTTAACAAAAAAAATTGTGGCTGATTAAATTTTAATATTTTAGATGTATAACAGTTCTAATAAAAATACGATTTTAGAAAGAAAAAATAAGCATGGGGGGGATAAAAAAAAAAATCCCGAAAATGCACGGTTGTTCTGATTGGCTGTGAGGCATATCCGGTTAGAGTGAAGAGCCAATCAAATGTGTCGCTACTGTGTTTTGAATCGGAGGCTAGTTTTAACCGACGCCGTTTGTGGTGAGGAGAAACACCGACGTGTGCGCGGATTTTTTCTTTAAAAAGCGAAATAAACTGTCATACCGGCATGGATTTGGACTCTATGAAATATACAGAATTGCGAAGTCTCGCTAAGGAGCTGGGACTCAAGGCGAACATGAAGGTAAGGAAGCGGTACTTTTAAAAAAAAATTTGCTTCTAGCGGGGTTCCTTGTATTCGCTAACGGTAGCTGGCTGTTCTCTAACGTCAACGTGTGTTGGGCAGACTACTCTAAAATGCATTTTCCCCGTTTTTTTTCGGCAACATTAGGCCGACAAACTTCTGAAGGCCATAAAGCAGCACTATCAAGAAGAAAAGAACAAAGAGGCGAAGGAGCAGGTAACTTACTGCTGTTTTGTAATGTATTGGCTTTGTTGTCAGCATCTCATGTGCACAGCGCTAATGCGTTTATGACTATTCCAGGGACAAGATATTAATGATGAAGCTCAGGAGAAATCTGAGGTTGTCCTGGATTCATCTTGCAAGGAAGAAGTTTCCAGCACTACTGGGTTTGTGAACACACGTCGAGGTAAAGGAAAGGGTAACAAGAGAAAAATCTCTGATACTGCGACACTGACTAAAAGCGATGCCAAGATGCCTCCAGTTGCTGCAAAGGTATTATACATTACACTGTATTCAACATAAATACATCTGAAGCACTCTATATCCCTGTGCATAGGGTTGCTTTGCAGCTGTTTAAGTTCTTTGCATTCTGGAGGTTTAAAACCTTTATGCTTATTTTTCTTTTTAAGGATGACACTGAAGTGGATGCACTTACTGCACCCTGCAATGCCAGGGGTGGTAAGAAGAGAAAGGTGTCCTCTACAAACGATAAAGAAAAAAATGAGCCTCCTAAAAAGATCCAGACTGCTGACCATGAGGAGCAGCAGCTACAGCCTGCCATTAAGGATGAAGCACCAGTGACTGCTGAAACAGGTTAGTAATAGTTGATAAAAGCTGATACACACTTATGTTTTCTTCCTTGGACTTTATGATCATGTACTTTTGCACAAATTTTACCTTTAAAGGTCTGTGTCCAAAAAAGGCACCAAAAGGGGCAAAAGCTGGTAGAATTCCTCGTCTCCAGCAGAAGAGTAAGCCTTTGTTGAAGCCTGTTACCCCCAGTAAGTTTTGTTTGTTTCTCTTTCAATGATATGGTTGTTTTTGGGCCTGATTCAGCAAAAGCTTTTTTTGGAGTCTCTGCTATGTACAGCAGAGCCTGTCTTACTTTATTTCAGAGAAATGTGTACATTTTCCTGTTTTCTATAGATGCACAACTATTTTGCTTGAGTAAATAAAACCTTAATGGATTAAAAAACACTACCCCCCCCCCCCCAAAAAAAAAATACAATAAATCTTTGAATATTGATATTGATTTACATTTTTTGTTTATCCAGATTTCAAAAAACTTCATGAGGCTCATTTCAACAAGATGGAGTCCATTGATTCCTACGTTCAGCGGAAGACGAAACAGATGGAGACGTACAGAAATTCAGTGAAGGAATTAAAGGTGCCAAATCATCTTGGCTTATTTTTATTCAGGAAAAATTAAGTGTAACTTTTACTTGAACTTTATCTTAGTTTTATTTTTTTACCTGTAGAGTCTGTCCGACAAAACTAAACTGCTGCAAGTTGATGGCAAAGCTCAAGTGGTAAGCACCACCATCTACTGGTCACCCACATTTGATGTATTTATCGATTACTTCTGAAGCACACTAATGACACATGTATATAATCCCACAGAGGGCAAATCCAACTCGTGCTTCCATGTTCAGCCCTGCACCAGTGAACAAGACACCAGGTGGAGAAAACCGCAGGCACACTGTGCTTTCAGCCACCAAAAAACCTCTTGCAAAGGAGGTCACCTCCTTCAGGCCGTCTGTTCTTTCTACTCGCAGGATCAATGTTCGGTGAGTCACCGTTTTGTCCTCTGGCCTTTTGATACAACAAATCTAATGAATTTCTTCGGGATTTAATATGTCTTTTAAATGGACAAAAGTACTGAGCCACAGTCTTTTAATCTTCTCATTAGTTATCAATCACATTCGCACAGGTGTATAAAACTTATGACATAGCCATGCAGTCTCTGTTTGCAAAACTTGTGAAATAATGGTTCATTCTAAAGGATAAACCTGAATTCAAGAGTGGATATTCCAAAATAACCTTCAAGTGGTATTGCAAAGTGAAAAATTCAAGTTTTGTATTAAATGTAATGCTTTAATGAGAACTGTCTACATACAGGTTCTCAGAAGCTACTCATGACAATGAATATAAAAGGTCACTGGTGAAGACACCTGCACGCATGTCACCCTGCGTGGCTTCCAGCACCCCGCAGAAACAGACCGCCAATGGATTAAAGCCCAACAGTGTCAAAACTGCATCGTTCTCTGCCACAAAAACTCCAGGTACTTTGGCCTTTCAACCCTTGGAATGATATATTTGAAGTATGTTTCTAAACAGAGTAAATTATTTTTTTATTTTTATTTTTTTATTATTCCATTCCCCCCCCTTCTGCAAGGACCATTTGTTTTCACTGGCAACACAAGCACTTCAACAACGCCTGGCACAAACAAGAAACCCAGCTTTGATCTGAAGGCGAGTCTGTCACGTCCCCTCACCTACAAGCCTCATAAAGGTATAAAAATGTTCTCATTTTCCCTGTTCGTGTGAAACACCATTTGATTGGACAAGATGTAGCATTGAGTTATTTATTTTATACATAGGTAAACTGAAGCCATTTGAAGATGTCAAAGAAAACATGGCCATGAACAAGTCTATCTCAAATCCGCACCAGGAAGCTTACAAACAGCACAAAGTCCAGTCAAGGTAGGTTTTTAATTGACGCTGAAAATTCTCCCATTGCAGTTTGCTCATGCAACATCTCTGAATATCTTTAATCTTATTTTAGGGAGGGCAGGAGAGCAAAGCAGATACAAGATCGGAAGCAGAAGAAAGAAAGTATGCTTGGGGCAAGAAGAGGCCTTGTCATGGCATAAAAATATTGCGCCTGCTCGTGGCCGTTTGTACAACCTGTTGAAGTGTAAATATTTCATTGTCTGCAGCTTCAGTTTCAGCATTTTGTAGCCCCTATAGAAAAGTAGAAGCTTACATATACTGTCCAGCGTCTTTGAGGTTCAAATCCTGCTTGTCTTTTAAACACTTTTAGCTCAAACTAGTCCTTTTTTTTTTAAAAGAATATTTTGATGTGATTTGAAGTCTGTCCTGTTTTGCTGCATTTTGAAACTGCTAATTAAAATTTTCATTTGCTTTATTACTTTTGCTAGAATTGAGGCACTCATAAAAGAGTTATTGACCCAAGATCTTGTCTTTTTTATTTGTTCTCTTGTGGTATTTAATACATCATTTAATAATAAACAGTCTGCACAAGTCATTAATATTAATAGTTTGAAATCTGTAATGACATTAACATTAACCGTTCTTAGACTTCTGGGTTCCTCTTGTATGCTTCATAGGCAAACTCCTCTGTGTGTGCATAATCTTTGCAAACACCAATGAAATCAATTTCAAGCTGGAATGGGCCATCAGCTTTGTCTCCCAAAGTAAACCCAATGGTGTTAACCTGTAAATAGAAATACAAAAAACAATGTGAAGGCCACAAGCTAAAAAGGGATTAGGGTAATGATACATCAATTTTATCATCACTTTGTGAGGGAATTTTTCTTTGCACTACCTTGTCCAGCCAGACAGGATGCTGGTCATCTTGTACCCTCCCTCGATGTGTAAGGAAGAACTTAGAGAAAGGTATCTGCAGAAGAGCATTTGAAGTCAGGCTGATCAACATATTTGATACTATCATGCCTCTTAAACAGACCTATATAGATTTGTTAAATAATTTTACTTTAAAAAAAACAAACTTCACCTTAACATCCTGCCAGTAGGGCCCTCCTCTGGTATATAGGAAATAACAGTATATGTCATCCTTCTGGTGAGAGAAGTAGGTTTCTGCTGAGACGTTAATCATCCATGGGCGACCATCACCACGTACACGTAATTGCAGAGTGTTAAAACTGCTCCAATCATGGTGTTTTTTTCTATCAAAGGAAGCCTAGAAGACACAAAAGACTTGGAAATTGGCATTTACATAAACTTTCATTGATAAACTGCAATGAGGGAACCCCCTCCTCCCCTCTGCATCCATCCTATATTATGTTCTAAAAGAAAAGTAATTACTGGAGGGAGACTAATCTCTCTGCGCTACTGAATTCAACAAAAACATGGTATTCAGCAGTTAATACTAACCAGAGGCTGCTTTGAGCGCATAGTGCAGTATCCACTGTAGCGTGTTTCTCCATCTCGTGGGGGAGTAGAGCTCAGTGTCCCGTACAGAAAACAGGTATTATTGTTCCTTCCCAGCTTCAGGTAAGCTTCACTATGGCCTCCAATCTCACGATCAGAGGACACCGTCCACTCCCTCAGGCTCTCTGGACCTCTGAACTCCCATACAACTCTGTTCTGCTCCAGCATGTGCTCAATAATCGGTTTACCCTCAGGGCCAACCCAGCGGTCAGTAAACTCCTTTTTCAGGAGTGTGAAATGCTTCTTTATCCCCTCCAAACCTTTTGAGAAATTAAAGTTAATCTTTTGCCAGGCAAACTTGGTCTTTTTGGGCTGGCCGGGTCGTCTGTATTCACCCTGGATCACAGCTCTTTTGGGCACAGTGAGAGGAATGATGGAGGGGAGAAGCAGCTGGTGGTGGAGGATGGTGCTCAGCAGCCTCCCAGAGGGGAGGTGTGTGATCCTCTGCAGGGACATTTCAACGCTGATCTGCAGGTTTCACTGCTGAGATACAGAACACAGAGTAACAGAGTCAAAATGAATATAAACAAGAATATGTTTCTTAAAAACAAAATAATGGCCTGACACACTTTAAACAATATTTATATCGTTTTGTATAATTATCCAATAGAGGGCATTTAAAATGTCCCACTTCAAACAACTATATTTATGAAGAAAAATGAAAGGTTTCTTGTTTGAATTATGTGTTCATGGGTTTTCTTCACGTATAAACTCATTTTCACACTTGCTCACATATCGGCAAGTGTGAGCAGAAGTTTTGGCAGTTTGCTGGGCTGGAGCCTTCACATGTGTGTTAACACAATGCTGGTGAAAAATGACATTAGCAAAGATCATAAAGAAGTTTCTGGAAGGGTTTTACACCGCGAAAGATTATT